GACATCAGGCAAGAGGCATGAAGAAGTACTTTCCTGGGGCCTGAAGTGTGATGCAAAGGGTGAGGAACATACCTGAGCCTGCTCTACATGCCAGAACCTGACAGTAAAAGCATCTCGTCTTTTCTAATAAGCTTGTTTCTTTGTGTTTTTGAGACACACAAAACTCCAAAACATGATGGGATAATGCAAGGACCTCTCTTGCCCACCTAGAAGTGTTTAACTACTGTGGACAAGGGCAGGAAAGAGAATTACTTTTCTTTACATGCTCCATCTTACAGATTTTTTTAACCACATAAATACATAACCAAATCAAAATGTACACCTGGATTTTTCTAGAGGCAGATGCTAAATCAAGAATAATTTTTATATAGTTTATTGAGGAGTGATCTCAGGAAACACTGATGGAGAAGTAGGTCAGTAAGACAGAAGAGGGAAGAAAGCTAACAAAGTGTGCACTGACAGCCAGTGGGGACAGATGAGCACAATCCTGGGGGACTCTGGGAAACAGCGTAGAGCACATGCCTTAGAGATCTTTCTCTTGAGGGACAAGTGAGGTGAGGTACGTGTCAATCAATTTCTTTCGGTCACTAATTGAGTGTTGCTTCCCAAGGGCATTATTAACACCCTGGCACTTCCAGCCTGCCTCGTGCCTAGGCAGAACTGGACTCCAGGGCACAGAGATCCTTCGGCCAAGAGTCCCCTCTGCCAGCAGTGGTTAAGTTCAGTTACGCTCCAAAACCGTCAGCTGGGGATGGGGTGGGAGGGTAGGAGGGAAGCACTCACAGTGCCTCCATTCAAAAAAAGACCTACTTTGTTTTAAATTGAGGAAAGACATATTTGCACATTCAGTGAATGTAAAATTTAAAGTGAAGTCAGATTTTCCCTTATTCCAAAGGTCCCGTGAGTCAGATGTAGCTTTACTGTGATGAAGGAGCATGCCCTAATATTTGCAATATTAGCAACAGTTAGATTCACGCAGTGTCAATGGGGTTAAACTTACTTTTTTTTATAACATAGACAATAGACCGTATCATTTCACGGTAAGTAGGAACATGTGACCCTGACTGCTATTAATGGCTGCATTTATACATTCCCCAGCATCTTATCAGTATGTTTTCCCCAACATACTCCAAGGGCCTTTACAAACACTTTGTATACATTTGCTTACAAAATCCTTTAAAACCAAATCAATGCTTTTAGATTTCCAATGCCGCAGGCCAGGCAAAGCCCCCAAATCTCTGATATTACATAGAAGTACACCTATTCTCAGTGGAACTATGCCGTCTCTCTCTCTCTCTCTCTTTTCATGAAATCTTTAAAGAAAATATTGTATAAATTTACTGAATCTCCTTTAGTGTCACCTGAAGTAGGCCGTTCATGAAAGTGCTTATTGTTTTAAAAAGGACTGGTCTTTTCAAGAAAAGGAAATCATAATTTTGAGAGTCTGGACTTAATGGTTCGAAAAAAAATGTCCAAATGCATTCAGTAGATTAATTCTAATCAGTGATAAAACTGTGACCTGAAATCTTATTTAGAATAAGACACTCAAAAAAACCCCAATAAAAGTGTATTTGCTTGGTCCATTTTTTTTTTCTATTTCAGATACACTCCAAATATTTTTCTCGTAATTTTTGAAGCCAGGTTATCAAATATAAGAAAGATCTGCTCCAAAAAGTCTTAAAGCTTGCACATTAGAAAGTTTTATTTTCTTTTAATAAAAGCAAGCAAATAAAACACATAAACACATATAACCACTGCTGATGGAAATAATAATTGTTGCATATGTAGGTACAGATATAACTTGCAAGAGTGCTCTTAGGTGATGAAAATTTCTCATATAAAATTACATATGTATAAATTTTATTTGTATATATGAATAACTATCTGGTTTCCTTTTTAAACAATTTCCTGGTTTCCTTTTTAAACACTTTCCTTTAATTACTTTCTGTTCTTATTATTTTAAGAAAGAAAGCAGATATAGCCTGTAAATTCCAAGCATCTAGCAACAGAAAACATGATTGGGTTGTCTTCTCACAACACAAATCATTTTCATTAGGAATTTAATTCACTGAATGTGTTGATTTGTCTACCAGTTAAGAAGAGTTTATGTTGTGTCCCTATGAGAAATGTCTCCCTTGCAGTAAGATATTATTTAAAATCTAGGAAAGGAGGAAAATGCAGTGTAGGATGGGCAATATATTCCTTCCCTCCTCCCCCTAAGAGTCTACAAACACAGACTTCATTGAGGAACAAAATAAAACCTCTTTAAATATAGAATTGCCATTTCCAAAGAATACACAGATGGAAAGATATTTGTTAATTTGTAGAAATATGTTTCCCCCTTCTTGTCAAAGCACATCGTCTAGAAACAAATAAGACTTCCATGCATTTTGGGCATTTCTAGCTTCTTTTTTTTCATATTATTGAAAGTGACTTCATCTTTTAATTATTCTTCTACCTATGGTAAAAATCTTTTCGCGGCATGCCTCATGGTTACCACAGAATGATGGGGATGCTGTCAGCGAGAAGCATGAATTCAGGAGTACGTAAGAATTAGAAGCTAATGAGGCCAGAATCCATTAATGTGACAAATTTCATCTTCTAAAGCCAAAGCCATAAATATTTTTTAAGAAAATTAGATACTGAAGTATAATTGTTTCTGAGTGTTTCTGTAAGATTTCTTTCGGTTTTTCTAATCACTAAAAAGATACCCTTAGCTCTTTATATCCATAAAGATGTAAGAACATGCAGTCATGGTTGCAACTGCTTCTTTGATAATCCGAGAATCAAATCACCAGGATTAAGAAAATAAACTAAGAATTGAATAGATTGTTCCACTGGTTGATTGGTGATATTTAAGCAAAAAAATGAATGACAGCAAAACAACAATTGTGATCTCTACCTGATCTGTGAGCAGTTTCTCAAAGAGTACAACACGTTTTGAGTTTTAAAAATTTTCTGTAAGGTACAGACAAATAATGAAGCCAAAAGTTGGAGCGAGATGTTTCTGAATTTCTCAAGAGGAGAATGCTGATAAAATGTAGCATTTAAATATACATTTTTCCCAACAGAGTAATCTATAAACCATTTTTCTTTCTTTTCCTCTATTGAACATAGCTTTGAATTACACTGGTTTCCTCAGTGCCCAGTTTCAGGGTGACTGAGAAACATTTAGATTATCTCCCAAGGCAAAGTGGGTTAGAGAGCTAAAAATAATCTCACCAGTTTGGATATTTTAGGGCAAAGGGAAATTATATTCCACATTGGAAGGCAGAGCTCTCTAAACCCAAGACTCCTGTGTCTCCACCTTCATCATCTCAATTATCTACATAATTGTTCTAACTACCCATTAACACAACCTTAATATCCACTTAGATACCTCATAATACTCTCTAAATTCTCTTGGACACCAGTAAATCCAATTTACATGCTTTCACTGCTTGGTTGTGGGAAAATAAACCATGTACTTCATCAAATCCCATTTAAAGCCAAAAAAAAAAAAAAGGTTAAAAAAAAGCTTTTGTTTTAAATACCTAAAATACATGGGTTTCCCAACTGCACCCATAGTTTAAAAAATTCAACTAATATCTTAACTATTTATATTAAGTTCTTTTAAACAGAGATCAAGCATGAGTTGAACCCTCATAGTACTAAGAAACCAGTCCTCAGACGCATATCAAGATGGTTTTGCTCCAAAAGTTTCAATTAGATTAAAAAAGAACACAAACAAATAGGGGTACTTAATTTATTAATAGCTTGATTGTTCCTAGGATTTTGAAAATGTGGGCTCCGTGGCAGAGAGACACGCACATACAGTTCTAATTAACACCAATCACAAACGCTAATGGTAGAACCTACTGCTTAAGTAAATGAACATCCTCACCCCTGCTGCTTTGAAGAGCCTGATAGGCATGCACTTTATTGACAAAGTAAGCTAATTTACAGAGTGATTGTCCAAGAGGGAACTGCTGTTTATTTGCAGAGTTTTTCCCATTGAACTCACAGGGCAAACACTGCACTTAAATTGTTAATTGAAATATCAACAGATAAAAATGTAAACATTGGGTTTTCTTCAGAGCAGAGTGACAGCCACTCACTCATTCAGCACCAAGCCCTGAGATCCTCCCCATCATTGGTTTCTGAAGAATGAGAGCAAGTGCTCTGGAAAGGTTAGGAGGCTGAGCTTTCTTTGCACCCAAAGAAGAAAACTTATGAGGGTAAAACAACAAACTTTGACTCTCAATCCATCCACACAGAGGAACCAAAAACCTAAGGAGGTCTCCACTTTCTTTATGCCTTCGGTGGTAGCCATCTGTGTTTACCAGATGTGACCATCCACGCTTTCAAGAGTTTAAGGGTTGCGTGAAAGCAGGCTGGTGACGGTGTGTTTTCCTTAAGAAGTGTGAATAAAGTTCGTATTGTACGGCAAGAAAAGACAAATTCAAACAAACAAACAAAAATTTCTCTGCCCTCTAGTCTCCTTTCTCCCCACCAGCTTGTGCATTGTGTATCCACGTTGTGCACTGACCAAAATCTCCCCGTCGGCAGAAACACCTGCTCAACCATAAAGAGCAACATTCTCCTGGCATCAGTAAGACCACTCCTTAAAGATAACATTCCTTTTTTTTTTTTGGTTTTGTTTTCTTCATTTATTATTTGGAATGATTTTGAGAAAAGAAGACAGAAGAGAGAGAGAGATCTCTATGAGTCTTGGGATATTTTCAGAGGAAAACATCATGCTGAGTTATTGAATTGAGAATTAAAAGGTGTTTCAAAATGTAGGACTTAAACAGCATGAGAAGAACAATTATTTCTTTCATGTAACTGGATGATGATAATTCTTAAAGCTCCCCTTTCTGGTCAGTTATCTTTGACCTTGCTTTTGGATTCTGTACTAACATTCCTTCTTGATAAGGGGTCACATGACACTTAGATCTGGATTATGTAAACTGTCAATAATGCATCATTTGATGCACAGCCCTCTGTCCCAAAAAACTTACATAACTGTGCGTTGACTTCTCATGGATGGAACAGTTCCCAGAGCTTTCTGAGATGCTCTTCCTGGGTTATAATCCTCAAATTTAGATCAATTCAAATTTCCCATTTCTTTCTTAGATAGACTGATTACTTTTTTGCCAACAGAAGAAACTGTAGTAAAGAGCAGGAAAGAAGGAGGCGCAGTGTCCACTTAGCTATGAAAGGAAAATGTGTCTTAAACTCGTAACAAAAAAGCCTCTGGCTCTTTCCTTAAAATGTAAAAGTTTAATTCTGGAAACCAAGACTCTATTATTGTGAAATTTTGAAGTTAAGTGGATAAAGGCACTGCTAGTGTGACTTGTTTTGGTTGGTTTCTTTCTAAGGTATTTTATCAACCCTAGCTCCTCAGGCTACAGAGCCAAGAGAGAGCCTTCCTCGGTTCTTTTCTTAGGATGACCATGTATCTTTGCTCTTCTGAATCAAGCCTTGGGTTATTTCTAGAAGTGCACCTGATGATATGGGAAAGATGATCTTTAATGCTGCAAAACCGGGTCCTGTTCCTGAAATGCACTTCTCTGGACCTCACTGCCCTTTTTAAGCTGGGTTCTGAGGAAACGCAGGGCTGCCTTAGGAGGTGAAGAGGGAGGTGAGAGGAGCAGAGTTCCAGAAGCTCCCTTCCCCTTACACCCAGCAGAGCAGTAGATTTTAATCTGTGCCTGGTATAAGCACTCTGGCCAAAAGCCAGTCTGAAGGAGGCCTATTTCCAACAGCTGGGAAAGGTGGCAGGATGGGCGGGCAGTGGCATCAGACAAGAATCTCCTGGACGAGACAACTTCAATTTTCCCTTGAGCTATCAAATTTTTTTTAGAGCTGTACATTTTTAAATGACTATTTTAGTTGACAGAAAAGTCTTTAGATATTTGCCTGTGTGTGTGTGTGTGAGGAGAGAAAGTCCGAGAGACTGAGAAATAGCATTGATAACTTGTCCTTGTTTATATGCATATTTCTTACCTCACGGGAAATAGGCAGGTCAAAATAACATACCAAGTGCAGGGTGTGTTTTGTCCAGTTACTTAACGTGCTTAAGTACTCAAAGAGGTATTTAACTGAATGAACAAAATAAGTTATCCAATGATTTTCGGTGAACTTGGCAAGTGAGCTGATGGGCTAGGTTTTTCTCATCTGTAAACTCCATCCCCACACATGGAATTGTTAAGAAGATGTAATAAACGCTCATAACATTTCAACATCTAGACGTACCTTGGTGCTCATCTACTTAAAGCTCTGAATCCAGTGCTCTTTAATAGAACTAGAATAAGAAGCCACAAATGTGAGCCACACGTGGAATTTAAAATTTTCTAGTCGCCCCAGGTAATAAGTGAAAAACAAAAACAACCAAAACCAAAATAACACCAAGTTAAAAAAAAAAACAAACTAAATTTCTAAAATCAGCCTTTGAAATTTGGAATATATTTTACAGTTACAGCACACTGCAATTTGCACTAGTCGCATTTCTTGTGCTCGGTAGCCATGTGCGGCTAGTGGATCTGTAATGGACAACGTATCTCTGAGCCTTGAGTGAGGACTCTGCCAAAAGGGAAGGTATATTGAAACCAAATTAATTTCATTTCTCTCCAGCAATAAAGATAAGAGTACAGTGTCAGTACAGATCTTCCTGTAGTACAAGGGCTTAATCAATGCCCAAACCAATCCTTGTACACTTGGAACTATCTCCATTTGCCCAAGACCACTGGTTGGTCTCCAGACTTAGTGGAACCTGCCTAGAAACCAAGAAATAGTGTTGAAGCAATGGAGTTGCCCAGAGCTCGAATGGTTCTAGGGAAAGTGCCAGTTCACAAGGAGTAGCTACAGAAATGTCAACTTAAAACTCAAATCTCTTCATGACAAGCAGGCTTGTAGTTTGCTGGTAGTAGTTTAAAACATTTTCTTATTTGCTTTTTAAGAATCTTACAGTGAAAACAAAATAATGTGTTCTTTTTCTCCGTGAGTTTCCATAGCTCTCTGCGTGCTGTGCTGTGGTAACCTTTACACTGATATTTTTAATTATCTAATTTATATACCTAATTTCCCTGCATGACGAGGACAAGAGGCTATGTCATATTTATGTTTTTATCTACAAGGCCTGATACACATCAGGTGTTCAATAAACGTCAAAAAATAACTGACTACTTAAAGAGAATTTATATTTATCAAATGTCTAGGTGAAACATTAATACCAAGCACTGTTTTTTAACATTTTTTCTTATTAAAATACAACATGTTTTTGATGAAACTATAGATAATTAAAGCAGAGAAATTATATGTAAGCCCAACATTGCTGCTGTGATTTTTAAACCTGGTATTTTAGCCTTCAAGTTCTTTTCCCCCATGCAGGTTACAGAGACATATTATTTTTTTAACCGTAAAATTTCTGATTATATTGGTGCTAAGTTTCATTAGCCTATTTCTTGAGTTAAATGTATTGGAAAATCTTTTCTGTATCATTACATATGACCCTACTGCAGCAATTAAAAATGATTTTATATTAAAAAAACATAAAGTAGAAAAATTAATACAATGAGCCCAACTGTACCTAATGCTTGAGTTCAGTAATACTGATGTCTTGCCATTCTTGTTTCCCTGAGTCCCTTACATTGATACCTTTTACGACATTGCTATGGACTGAATATTTGTGTCTTCCTTCCCCCAGTTCATATATTTGAAGGCCTTACCTCCAGTGTGATGGTCTTAGGAGGGGCCTTTGGGAAGTACTCAGGTTTAGATGAGGTCATGAAGGTAGCGTCCCCATGATGGTATTAATACCCTTATAAAAGGAAGACACTTCAGTGTCTCCATCTCTCTCTCTCCCCATTGTAAGGACACAGTGAGGAGGGGGCCATCTGGAAGCCAGGAAGAAGAGAGGTCTCACCAGAATCTGACCAAGCTGCCTCCCTGATCTTACACTTCCACCTTCCATTCAATGTGGAAGTGCACAATACTACAGCCAAAACTTGGTTCCTGTCAATATTTATTTCTTCCTCAGATTAATTCTTAAAAGCACAACCATTAGATTAAAGGGCTTGCAAAATTATGTTTTTGCCCAAATTTATTGTTCAACAGCCCTCCAAAATTAATACAACTATTTGTAACCTATTTATAATTTAATATTTTCACCAAGCTGATAAAGTATATTTTATTATTAATTTTATTACTTGCATTTTTCCATATTCAATAAATATGTGTACATTTTTATCTTTGAAAATGGCATATTAATGTCTACTGATCATTCCTCTACTTGCCTATATGTCTTTTGCTTAATGATTTATAGGACCTGTTTATATGTCATGGATATTAACATTTTGCAAAATAAATTGCAAATATTTTTACCTGTTTTTGATTTGTGATTAATTTTGTTATATGAGAACTTAATTATAATATGGTTGTATCTATAAATGCATTCCTTTATGGCTTCTGTCTTTGATTTCATGAAAGTAAATTTTCTCTATTCAAATATAATATATATAATTATATTTGACTATATTTTTTAAAATAATTTTACTTTTCTAACAAACTAATTTTTAGATAAAATAGATATATTTAAGTCACAAGTTAGGTATATAACTTTATTATTTTTTGCAATTGTGAGCTCCCTGTTCTAATGCCATTTACTGAGGCATCCATTGCTTCCTTCTCTTTACCACATATTAAATACTAGTATGTTAGAGTGTTAGATATTATATTGTGGGACATTGATCTTTCTTAGATATTCCTTCCTTGGTACTATGTCATATCATTGTTATCATTATTGTCATGGTTGTGTCATTTATGTCATAATATCAGGCAAGGCAAATTCTCATCCATTAGGCCCTTACGATTTTCTTTGCTGACTTCTTATATTTAGAGTTCAGATAATTTCCAGTATAATTTTCAATAATATCTTGGTTCTATTCTTAAAGTCCTGAGTCAGCTGGAGGAATATGCTGCCTCCTTTGCATTCCTCCCTCACCTCTGTCTGCTAAGCCTAGGACCAGCTGACCCATCTCTTTAAAGTAAGGAAAACTATTTCCTGTCATTCCCTGCCATTCATGCCTGCCACCTTCTGTTGCCCCAGATGTTTCATGGTGTTGCCTACCTGGGATCTGACCTCTCTATGTAGCTGACAACGTAATGTTAATTTATCAGGATGTTAATATACTAATCAAATAATCAAGGGGGTAGACATTGTCTCAAGAACCTACCTGCATTTATGAAATAGGCCGCTTCTAGAAACATAATCATTTAACTCAGTTTCCACTAAATTTTAATTACTTACACACCACTTTCATAGTTTTTGCTACTTCGACATACAGTTATATTTTAATTTCTTAATAGAGTTTTAATTAATTCACTATTTTAAAAGCTAGAAGTGCCTATTTTACCTTTTCCTTAAGGAATACTTATCAGATAAAGGGTTTGGTTTGTTACCACATTTTTAAAAACACACATTAAAAGAAATATACAACTGCTAAGATGAAAGATGTTCCTCTACCACAGAAAGCCATCTCATATATCATATGATATGCATGAGCCAATGTGGAAAATACTGTCTTACTTCAAAGATTCATACCAGGGGTTCCCAAACTTATCTGCACTTTCAATTATGAGGGGATCTTTAAAGTCCCAACCTCAAGCCATTGTCAAGACTAATAAATTCACAACGTATGGGAGTGGGACACAGGGCATCCATATTTTTTAAGTTTCCCAGGTAATTTCAATATGCAGCCAAGTTGGGAAAGCAGTGGTTCAAATTATTTAAACTAACTTCCTCTATGGCTGTTTATTGTGACTACGTTGGGACTCTTCCCACAAAAAGTGGACAGCGGTCAAAACATCCAAGTTTTCTAGTTTTCTCATCTTAATTTAGTTTCTCTGATCCTTAGTTTCTTCACCAATTCAAAAAAAACAAAAAACAAACTTTGTCTTAAAGTAGCATTTCTTAAAGCCTCCTTGAGATCTGCCTGCATCAGACTGACCAGCAGATGTTTTTTTTTTAACATACAGAGTACTCCTCGTCCTTGACAGAGATCTCATCATTCTCCCTCTCCCCTTCTCACTGGCTGACATTTATTCTCTGGGGGA